AGAATTAGATTTAGAAAATTTTATTTTATTTATATTTTTATTTACAAAATATTACAGAAAGAAGTTTCATTTTGTTCAGCCGTATTTTGCTGCAACTCCTGGAGCTCATTCTCCGAATTTGCAACCCGAACTCACAAACTATTTCTTTCGACAAACAGTTGCCGATATCTAGATTCTCTTATATATTTTTCTCAGATTGCTTCGAAGGACCGAGAATTTCTAACCGCAACTTGTGCTTCTAAGTTCTGCACCTGGTTGTGAAGAGCAATCAAATGACCGTGGACTGAACTTTCTTTTCCTCGACATGGTATCTGAAATAAAAACTTAATTAGAAACTATTGTTTCTAAAGACATATACTAAAAACAGAAATGAAAAAAAATATATTGGCAAGGTACTTATTCCAAGAATACAACAAGCAAGGTCCATTACTTGCTATACTAATAGAAATAAGTCTCTAACCTACTCGCACAAGGGACCACGAGTATTGAAAATAAAAAGAGGAAAATATAAAGGGAAAATATCTACTTGGGCCAACTACATAGCGCACCAAGATAGATAATCTGCCAAGCCCCATACGTCTAAATTAGACGAGACTTAGCACACAGCCAAAAAAATATACACACCTTTAGGATGACAGCAAGATAAAATGACAACAAGAAACAGCAAAGAAAATAAAAGTTTTTAATAAACTAAAAGAAGCAAAAGAGACAAGATATTAGAAAACCTTAGGAAACAAGAAAAGAAAAAGACAAAAGAAGATAAAGACCAAAAGCTGTAAATAAAAGATTTTTAGGATCTAACGATGCTAAAAACCAAGGGAATAAATAATGAAAATTGTTATTGTTCCCAAAATAAAAATCAATAAACAACTAGCTGTAACAAATAATGGACACAAGATGACTATCGATTAGCAGATATAAAAATAGAAACAAAGAAATTTCAACAAAGAAATAAAAAAAATAGAAAAAAATAGAAGCATTTAAAACAAAAAAAAAATTTGATCGACCGATATAGAAATTAGGCACAAACAATTGCCAAAATAGACAAGCAATGTGATGCTGCTATTTTTAAAGAAAGAATAACACAATTAGCTATAATAAAAAGATCAGACGATACATGCAGAAAACAATCACAACTGATAATATGATTGCTAGAATAGGAAATCGATAGACAATTAAAACAAATAGAAGCTAATTTTAGACAAATTAGCATATGAAGTTCGGAGACCTCACTTTTTAAAGGGAGGAAACAGACAAAGAATTTGTTATCGATAGAATATTATAGAATTTTTTTATTTTTAGAAACACCAGTAGCTTGAGAAAACAGTGCTTTAATAGCCAAAAGAAGAAATAGATAAAGCTATATAATTATAGCATAATTTAGTAAACAAAAACTTGTTTGCTATTTTTAGAAGACAAAGACTCATTATATCGAAAATACATGAGTACAAAAACACTTGCGAACTGCAGAAGTTATGCAGCATATCAGAATAATCTTGTTTAACTCTTTGAGTACAAACTTTATTTAGAATAATTATATGTAGCATTTTTACGGAGTAAAAATTTTAAGGCGAGAAAATGTTACTAAGTAGATTTTTAGTATAGATTTTATTAAACATTATTTAATTATTTTTAGTTATTATTATTCAAAATATTTATATTTTTATATAGTTAAAATATTAGATATATTTATTATATTATTATATATTAGTTTTATATATATTTAGATAGAATATTATATAGTATTAATATAGAAACATTTTGATTGGCTATTGGAAGTGTGGCACAGTTACATGACCTCACATGACCTCAGGTGACATAAAGTTACACAAGAGAGTCCTTTAGATTATACATAGGTGTTACACAAGAAAGTAACACAAGTTCACCTTCTTTCCCCACACGAACACCTTCTTCCTCTGCACGAACACCTTTTTCTCCTGCACAAGTCCTAAATGTTTTAAACACAAAATACTGTGCAGCAAAGTTCTCTAATTCCCCCAACGATACTAGTGATATTACTATGCTAGTAAATACTGCAGTAGACCTCCTATCCCAACCTATCAACTCGGATACCCTCTTGGATACCTTTCTAACTGAAGAACCAGAAATTGACCCAACCTCAACCACCACTCCTCCCAAACCAGAAACTGAACCAGACACTGAAGTTTATCAAAAAGTTCGAGACGAACTAACCCAAACCTTAATCTCTCAATCGAATACTCACCCGAACCCTTTTATCGGTAGAACTTGAAAAGACCAACTAACCAAGATTATTCAACAATTAGAAGACAAAGGACATACTCGACCTAAGCAGATAAAAATTATCAAAGCTTATCTGTACTTAGGAATTCTCATCCAGAAACAGACTGATGAATGACCCCAAATTCGTGAACTTCTCCAAGCTTCTCAAGGCTCTCGAAAGACTCAAGACATTTGGAAAGAAGCTACTCGTCTTCAACAAATCTTTAGTATTCGACCTAAAGAATTGTTGTATCAAACCCGATACTTTACTGTCACCCACATTGTTAAGTTTATTGATAGAGAGTATCAGTCTTTAATTAAGAATTTGCAGAGCAAATTTTTATAAGGAGACGGAAATGTTATAGAACAGTTTTATTTTATTAGTTATTATTTTATCTTAGTATTATTTTATTATTTCGATATTTGTATTTTATTAGTTATTAGTTATTATTATATTTATC